CCCTAACCCTAACCTTAATCCTTTAACCTAACTCCTAACCCTAAACTTAACCCTAACCTAACTAACGTTAGCCAGCGAGCTAACGTTAGCGCTAGCAACCTAGCCACCTAGCTAACCTTAGCCACAACAAATTGGAATTCATAACATATCAAATTTGTAACATATTGTACGTATTAAAATTCGTAACATATTGTACGAATTGCAGTTCGTGACATATCACACGAAATGGATGATGGACATCCACAAATTAATACATACCATACGAAACCTAACATATCATACTAAATGGAGTGCCTCGGATTTACGTACAGAATAATACAAAATGCTCTGAGACCACGTTGGCAAGAAATGTATTTGAGTTTTTAATTTCCAATTTGAAAATGAACTTGATTTGCACTAACGAAAAATTTATCAAGCCCTACAAACCTTTCCATAATTATAATCAACATATAATATGGAAATTATAATATATAATATAATATATGAAATAATTCACATTTCCTATTGCTGCAGGATTATTTTCCTGCTGTAGAAAACTGGTTCAAATTAAGATCCTACATCTGTACAGTAGGGCTCACACGTTGAGCCTCTTCGTCAGGTGATCCTTCGTGCCCAGCAACCCCTGATCAGGTGATATGCGTTTGACTTGATATACTATTTACATTGACATTTTAGTCATTTAGCAGACGCTCTTATCCAGAGCGACTTAGTTAGTGAATACATATTTTTTTTATACTGGCCCCCCGTGGGAATCGAACCCACAACCCTGCTCTATCAACTGAGCTACATCCCTGCCGGCCATTCCCTCCCCTACCCTGGACGACGCTGGGCCAATTGTGCGCCGCCCATGAATCTCCCGGTCGCGGCCGGCTGCGACAGAGCCTGGAACTGTATATGAAAGTGCTTGTGTGGTGTCCAAATGTATGACCTCCAATTCAACTGCTACGGTGGCAGAGAGGAATTGTCACTGCACTGTAGAGCAAGAATACCCCAGTTAAAAACCATTGTGGACATTTCTCTTTGTTTCTTTTGAAATTCTGTCAGGGTATAGCCTTGAGATATCCAGTATGTCAGAGTCATGAAACATAAGGATTTTGCACAATAAACACTTTCTCAATTTCTATATTAGAAAGTTGATAAAGAAATATTAGAAGTGCAAATGTTGTGAGTTCAAAAGGCTGCTCTCTTCTGATATAGTCTAGGAAACTATCAAGAAATCATGAAATTCTAAGCAGAGCTTTGGTGTGGCGCAGAGTGATAATGCTCCTGTCAAACGGGCTCAGTTTTCTCCAAGGGTTCAAATCCTGTATGTCCTGTCAGTATGAAACAAATGTAGGATCTTAATTTGACCAGTTTCTCACAGCAGGAAAACAATCCTGCAGCAACAGGAAATGTGGATTATAATTACATTTTGTAGGGGTTGATAACTTTTTTGTTAGGGGAAATCAAGTTTGACATTTTTAAAGTGGAAATAAAAAACTTTAGAAGCCTTTTTAAACCTCAAATACACTAATTTGTAAGTCGCTCTGGATAAGAGCGTCTGCTAAATGACTTAAATGTAAATGTTAAGTTTGCATTTGCGTCTGTGATCAAATTAAGATCCTATATAGCAAGTTGTGCTTAAACAAACAATGAGGCTTGTTTTATTTGCATTTTATATATTTTATTGATAGATGAATCACTAAATAATTTCATAAGGTCAAGGTACAAAAAGAAACTACAGTAAATTGCAGGGACAGAGTGACTTTCTGTAGGAGCAAGGACTGGATGGAGATGGATGACTTAAGGTTCGAACCACATTGTACACAATGCAAGACTGTCTGTCACTTCCTGTTTCAATAAAGTTTATCCAACACAAGTAAAGCATTGGCCAATCAGATTGCAGATAATTAGTTAAAAGGTAAATAATGACTTAGTACAAAACAACTGTTTCTATACATTACAGAAATGCATAAAAGTGCTTTAGAAAATAACTGATCACAGTAATAATTATCATAAAATAATCGTACACTACTTTTACAGTATAAATAACCCCTCGATAGATAAGGCACCTGTGTATTTAGGTTAGAAGGCAACATAATTACAAATATTACTCATTTTCATTCATTCCATTCCAGTTATTAAAATTCCATTCCCGTCCTCCTATAGCTCCTCCCACCAGCCTCCACTGAACTGCGAGCAGTTGAATAACAAGATCAGTTGGATAACAAAGCAAGCACTTCATCATGTAGGAACTATCTTCCTTCATGTGAAATCAGTGAAAGCATTATGAGAAGATTTTAAGCATGAGCATATGTGCTAACGTGCATCTTTAGGTAGACTGCGGCCATAATTGAATGCAGCAAACCATTTTTTCTCAAAACCACTAAAGACTGATGTAATAAATACTAAATCTGGAGAGAATCTGACGAATGGTTCATGAAGAAAAGATGATTGCAGATGATTGAGCATTAGCTCCCGAGTGGCGCAGCAGTCTAAGGCACTGCATCTCAGTGTTTGAGGCGTCACTACAGACCCCCTGGTTCGATTCCAGGCTGTATCATAACCGGCCGTGATTGGGAGTCCCATAGGGCGGCGCACAATTGGCCCAGCGTCGACCGTGTTTGGCCTGTGTAGGCCGTCATTGAAAATAAGAATTTGTTCTTAACTGACTTGCCTAGTAAAATAAAAATAAATAAATGAGCGTTGCATTTGCAAAGAATTAGTTGTTAATAGTTTCCTTGTTTTTTGACATATCAGTAGCAAATTCAGTATATTTAGTATTTATTAGGATCCTCCAAGCTACTCTTCCTTAATAGTGATGACAAGTTTCAAGTTGATAGGCCACTGTCGAGTAGATTTACATTGGTTTAAATGGACACGTAAAATCAGATTTTTGATTTGTCAATAGTTTAGCCAACACTTGACCAATCCCTTAGCTTTTCTCAAAATAAGTTAGGTCATGTACCATGGGCCTACATTCCAAATGTGGTGTCGTTTTGGTCCTATGGTTCATGAGAAGATTTCGGAAGTATTTTTAGCATATGTGCTAATATGCATCTACTGGTACAGTGTGGCCATCTTCGAATGCATCAACATTATGTTCTCCAACTCTTTAGGGACTATTGTGAGTCCAAAGACAACATTTGGAGTGAAGAATGAGATTAGTCCATGAGAATATGTTTTTATGATTATTTTAAGCATTACATTACATAGTCAAATGAGTAAATTGTTAATGGTTTCCTTATTATTTAAGATTTCAAACTTAACATGGTTCGTCATGGTAACATCTTGATGACCCTAAATAGTTAAGTTAATAAGCCATTGTGAAGTGGATTTACAAAGGATTTAAATGGACACGTAAAATCTGATTTCCTTATTTATCAATAACTCAGCCATTTCTTAGCTTTTCTCAATGTAAGTTAACAGATATACCATGGGCCTACATTTAGTGTTATTTGGACTTATGGTTCATGAGAATACGTTTTTCAAAGGTTTTCCAAAATGTCCAATATAGAGGAAAATCTACCCTGACGGGCCTTATGGGTTCTTCCGGCAAATTTGTTCAGCATGAGAAAAGACACCTACAGTTGAAGTCGGAAGTTTACATACACTTAGGTTGGAGTCATTAAAACTCCAGAAAATGATGTCATAGCTTTAGAAGCTTCTGATAGGCTAATTGACATCATTTGAGTCAATTGGAGGTGTACCTGTGGAGGTATTTCAAGGCCTACCTTCAAACTCAGTGTCTCTTTGCTTGACATCCTGGAAAAATCAAAACAAATCAGCCAATTTCCAAATGCCTGAAGGTACCACGTTCATCTGTACAAACAATAGTACGCAAGTAGAAACACCATGGGACCACGCAGCCGTCATACAGCTCAGGAAGGAGACGCGTTCTGTCTCCTAGAGATGAACGTACTTTGGTGCGAAAAGTGCAAATCAATCCCAGAACAACAGCAAAGGACCTTGTGAAGATGCTGGAGGAAACAGGTACAAAAGTATTTATATCCACAGTAAAATGAGTCCTATATCGACATAACCTGAAAGGCCGCTAAGCAAGGAAGAAGCCACTGCTCCAAAACCGCCATAAAAAAGCCAGACTACGGTTTGCAACTGCACATGGGGACAAAGATCGTACTTTTTGGAGAAATGTCCTCTGGTCTGATGAAACAAAAATATAACTGTTTGGCCATTATGACCATCGTTATGTTTGGAGGAAAAAGGGGGTGGCTTGCAAGCCGAAGAACACCATCCCAACCGTGAAGCAAGGGGGTGGCAGCATCATGCTGTGAGGGTGCTTTGCTGCAGGAGGGACTGGTGCACTTCACAAAATAGATGGCATCATGAGGAAGGAAAATGATGTGGATATATTGAAGCAACATCTCAAGACATCAATCAGGAAGTTAAAGCTTGGTCGCAAATGGGTCTTCCAAATGGACAATGACCCCAAGCATACTTCCAAAGTTGTGCCAAAATGGCTTAAGGACAATAAAGTCAAGGTATTGGAGTGGCCATCACAAAGCCCTGACCTCAATCCTATAGAAAATGTGTGGGTAGAACTGAAAAAGCATGTGCGAGCAAGGAGGCCTACAAACCTGACTCAGTTACACCAGCTCTGTCAGGAGGAATGGGCCAAAATTCACCCAACTTATTGTGGGAAGCTTGTGGAAGGCTACCCGAAACGTTTGACCCAAGTTAAACAATTTAAAGGCAATGCTACCAAATACTAATTGAGTGTATGTAAAAAAAAGCTGAAATAAATCATTCTCTCTGCTATTATTCTGACATTTCACATTCTTAAAATAAAGTGGTGATCCTAACTGACCTAAGACAGGGAATTTTTACTAAGATTAAATGTCAGGAATTGTGAAAAACTGAGTTTAAATGTATTTGGCTAAGGTGTATGTAAACTTCCGACTTCAACTGTACATACAACGTTTCAAGTCTTTAGGTCAAATGGGGCAGCGGATATAAGGGTTTAAGTGAGACTGCTTATAAAAGTGCTCCACTGTGAACCCCTAAACATATATGATTTCTGGTTTCTGCAAATATTCATCTTCGCCTGACTGATGGAGTTGCTTTGGTAACTTTTGGTTGGTGTGGAGCTGGTTTAGAGGATTTTGATTGGTGTGGAGCTGGTGAAGGCGGTTTAGAGGATTTTGATTGGTGTGGAGCTGGTGGAGGCGGTTTAGAGGATTTTGATTGCTGTGGAGCTGGTGGAGGCGGTTTAGAGGGTTTTGATTGGTGTGGAGGCGGTTTAGAGGATTTTGATTGGTCTGGAGCTTGTGGAGGTGGTTTAGAGGATTTTGATTGGTGTGAAGCTTGTGGAGGTGGTTTAGAGGATTTTGATTGGTGTGAAGCTGGTGGAGGCGGTTTAGAGGATTTTGATTGCTGTGGAGCTGGTGGAGGCGGTTTAGAGGATTTTGATTGGTGTGAAGCTGGTGGAGGCGGTTTAGCGGACTTTGATTGGTGTGAAGCTGATGAGGATGGCTTAGTATGGCTCTTGGGTTTGGTCTGGACAAAGGGACGGGATTTTAACTTGAGGTTACGGAGCATTGAAGGGGTCACTTGTGAGTGTACTATGATTGGCTGCAAGTGGATGTAGTGGGTCTCTCTTTGGAAAACATTGGGGGCTGGAAGATAGGTTTGAGGGGGTGGGGGAGGTGGTGGTGGTGGTGGTGGTGGCAGAGGAGGATGACATACAGGTCTAGAGCCTTCCTCATACTGAATGGCCTGGATGTTACGGTAGGTGGACAACATGGATGGCACCAGTTCATTAGGTACTCCCCTCTGCTGCAGGGTGTTGAGCGGGTGGGGCTCGTAGAAGTCGTGAGACCTGCCACAGTCCACGTCCGCAGCACAGGTTCCTGTGATGTAGCGCTCACAGACGTGGAGTCTTCTGCAGCTCTCCTTGTCAGGACAGTATCCGTACTCTCCACTACCTTTGTTGTATGTGAAGCAAACCTGGAGACAAACACAAACCACTCCTGATAAGGGCACATCAAATGTATTAAAGGGGAATTAAGTTTCTTTACTCTGGATATCTACATGCTCAGTTTGAGGATATACAGTATTAGGAGGTAATTATATTATGATGTAAATATGAACAAGACTCAAGAGAATGATGCAAAGACTTAAAGAAAACACCAACCCATCCCAAATCCAGCTCAAAAATATGTTTTGTCATGCATTTAAGATGCATTAATACATTCTAGTATGAACCCATTCTACTTACAAAATGTTTGTTTTCTTTATTGCAAGTAAGAATAAAACATTTATCTTCTGAAAGTATATGTTTATGTGTGTATGCTTTTAAATTGCTTCCAATAAGCTGCAAGGAGCCTGAAAATACGAGCTTACTGGGGGTAAGAGGGTGTTGTCATTCTGCAACAGTAATGTACACAGCTCCTTCCTGTCCAGTTTCTCCAGGTGATGCTCTCTCAGGACTCGGATGTTGTGTTCTGACGTCAGCTGATGACAGAAGCGGCATTCTTGTCTGCAAATTACAAAGAAAGCAAGATACTTTCCCAATAGGCCTACTTCCCTTTTTAAAATCAGCATTTTGAGATTGATAATACTAACAGGAAAATGTTGGCGAAGAGCATATAATATCAAATGATAAAAGGGAAATGGCTATTGAACAGCTGTTGCTTTATAACACACCCCATCTGTTATGGCCGTGTCAGTTGAACGTATGATTGCATGGTTAGAGAAAGTGTTTTAGCTAGAGAGTAAAATGCCAGCATTTAGTTCGTCTTAATGACATTTCAAGAACATTTTACGGTTTCTAAAATACATACTGTAGCCTCTAAATCTTAATATTTAGAACCACATTATATTAAACAAATCTACAAACAGTATTAACAGGACCTTGAGTCTGACAAGGTCTATTGACCAAAAGAATAACAAGGTTTACCTCTCATTGAATCGACATGTTCCATAAAGGTAGAATATACACAGGTGTAAATTGCTGCAGCCATTACATTCCTTGGCTCTGCATAACCTCATCTTCGTCTTGGCAACTATCAGTTTGTTTCCCTCGGAGACAGCGCTGGTAAATATCTCCTGATTCCCTAAAACACTCTCCAGGTCGTCTTCTATCGTGCTAATGTTGGCACGCAATTCTTCCAGCTCAAAATACCCATTATGGGCACAGAGGACCTTATAGATCATAGCTGTTGTATCCATATCCGTCACCGTAGATCTTCTGCCTTGACTGTTCAAATCGGTTCAAATGCATGACTGCACATATTGACGAAGTAGACCTTTGCCCTCTTCTTCTTCTTCTTCTTCTTCCTCAGCGGGGTTTATCGGCGGTTGGAATCCAACGTTATGGTGCATTACCGCCACCTACCGTACTGGAGTGTGGGCCAGAGACGGGGATAAACTAAATCCTACCTGCCAACCCTGTTTCTCTTAAAAAAGATAACAAAATATTTGAGACTATATCTAATGACGCTCTACTCAATATACTCTTTAAACTAATTTCCTGTATCCCCTTCTCCCTCATACCTCTCATCCTCTCTCTTTCCCTCTGATACTGCCCACACTGTAGCAATACATGCTCCACAGTCTCTATTTCCTGACAATAATCACACTTTCCTGGTGGATGCTTTCCTATCACGTTTAATGTCTTATTCAGCTGGCTGTGTCCCACCCCTAATCTTGTAAAAATAGCCTCCTCTCTTCTGTCCCTTCCTGCCGTCCTCTCCTCCCCGACTTTCCTCTGTACTTAAAATTAATGCCTGCCCTTAGTATCTCTCTTCCACTGCTCCTGCCATCTCTTCACCATCACTGTAGATATCAGTCTATTTGCCTCTGCCTTGCTCATTGACACTTCAACATCAACATCCCCACTACTAAGTGCTTGTTTAGCCAATTCATCTACTGCCTCGTTCCCCTCCACCCCAACATGGGCTGGAACCCAAGTAAATCTCATCTGAATACCCATCTGTTTAATCCTGTCATGGGTTTGTAGCACCTCATAAAGCAGGTATTGTCTGCTACGTGAGCTAAAGGACTGGAGACTCATTAACACTGCACATGAATCAGAGCAAATATTTACTTTTGACATTTCCCAACATTTTGCCTTAATGATACATAATTTATTACTATACCTGATAAAGACTTCCCCACCCTAACCTGGATAGACCTTCCAAACAGGAAATCCTTTATCCAGTTGTACATTGTTCCTCCTACCCCCATAATATCAAGCTTGATTAACAAACCCTCCTTCCACATGATATCATACGCCTTCTCCACATCAAAAAAGACAGCTACAACAGTCTCCTTGTTCACCTGAGCCTTCCTAACTTTGCTCTCCATTCAAAACAAACCACCTCTACCTATGTGAAGCTAGCCACAATAAGGATTAGCCAAATCAGTCTACTCAAATACACCCACAGAACACATTTACATTTTAGTCATTTAGCAGACGCTCTTATCCAGAGCAACTTACAGTTAGTGAATATATATATATATATTTTTATACTGGCCCCCCATGGGAATCGAACCCACAACCCTGGCGATGCAAACGCCATGCTCTATCAACTGAGCTACATCCCTGCCGGCCATTCCCTCCCCTACCCTGGACCAATTGTGCACCACCCATGAGTCTCCCGGTCGCGGCCGGCTGCGTCAGAGCCTGGATTCGAACCAGGATCTCTAGTGGCACAGTTAGCACTGCGATGCAGTGCCTTAGACCACTGCGCCACTCAGAAACACAACTGTAAAGAGTTTACACAAATATTAGCGTTGTAGCTGTTATTGCGGGACTTTGACTGTGGGAAATCACCTCCCCAGTCAGCCTATTGTGCATATTGACATTCATATTTCACTGTACAGCTTTACCTATGGATTGTGGATCAATGAAATGGGGTATCAGTCTACTCAGTGACACCCACAGAACACAATTATGATGAGATTACACAAATATTAGCATGATAGCTCATATTGCGGGACTCTGAAACCACTGTGACATGAACCACATAAAGCTTACCTGTCAACCTACTATGTGTATTGATGATTTACTACAGTCAAAGTCCCACAATAAGAGTTATGACACTAATATTTGTGTAAACTCTTCACAGATTAGTTCTGTGGATGTCACTGAGTAGACTAATACCCCATTTTATTGATCCACAATCCATAGGCTGTACTGTGAAATATAAAATATATACAACAGATTTTTGTCAAATTAACTAATGATTGTCTTTAGTTTAATTTAGCATTATCTAATGAAAATATGCCATGATTGCACTATTTGTATCCATTTGCATCACTTTCAATTAGGGATTTTTCTTTTTGAAGGCGAACTGCAAATTCCACTATTGTGGCTAATTCTTATTGTGGCTAGCTTCACATAGGTACCACTTCTGACGATACAAAACCTAAACTAGGCTGATAGATTAATTATTAATGACTAATTATTACACCCTGAAACTGTGTATAATGTGTTAGAAATGTGTGAGTGTAGGACCAGTAAAGGCTATGGCATTGAGCCACTATTTAGCAATGTGAGTAAGAGTTAGGCCAGACAACAAAGACAACTGAGAAACTAAGATAAAGAGGCCTCCCAATTTAGGGAGGGGAGAAACTGTTATGAAAACATGGTGCAGAATATTGTGAGAACGGCAATAACTGAGTAATGCAGGGAGTAGGATATGTGTGTGTGTGTGTGTGTGTATGTATGTGTGTATGCATGTGTGTATATGTGTGTGTGTGAACTGAAGATCAGTAGAGCAGTTTTAGAGTGGAAAACTACAGCCCGCCTACAGAGGGGAGGGATTTCTTTTTGTATGATGTATGAGTATAAAAGATGGACTCTGAAATTGTGATGGCAGAATTCTCAATTAATAAATATCTCTGACTATGCAGACCGGGACTCTGGCCGTTACTTAAATCCCAAAAGACTTACAACCTTTTGGGAGACGCACAGAGACACTAAAATAGTTTTTTATTTTGTTAAATAATTCACATAAAATAGGCCTACATGTGAACACTCCCTGAGCTCTGAAAACAACAGAGTGAAGAAATATTCTTATTTTCTTTGTGTAGCAAGTGGCACCTAGTGGCTGGTATGAGAAGAGACATGCTAAAGATACGAGAAGTGTCAAACTGCAGATTATGCGCGCTGAGGTCTCCTGGTCTGCGAACCTCAAAGCGCATGCATCTCAGATGGTATGTGCACGCGCAACCTGTACTTTTGTTGGGCGGATGTATCCGTGACATGCTGACCACACCGCTCGCGTTACAAAATACATTTACACACACCGACTGTGTAGGTATTGCATTTTGGTACACCAGAAGTACATTTATTTCCAATGGAACGCTGCGTTTGCCTTGCAGCATTGCGTTGCAGAGGCAGAGGCAGTTGCAGTGCGTTCTGTGTGGCGCATATGTTGGATTTATTGAACATACAGTGGGGAGAACAAGTATTTGATACACTGCCGATTTTGCAGGTTTTCCTACTTACAAAGCATGTAGAGGTCTGTCATTTTTATCATAGGTACACTTCAACTGTGAGAGACAGAATCTAAAACAAAAATCCAGAAAATCACATTATGATTTTTAAGTAATTAATTTGCATTTTATTGCATGACATAAGTATTTGATCACCTACCAACCAGTAAGAATTCCGGCTCTCACAGACCTGTTAGTTTTTCTTTAAGAAGCCCTCCTGTTCTCCACTCATTACCTGTATTAACTGCACCTGTTTGAACTCGTTATCTGTATAAAAGACACCTGTCCACACACTCAATCAAACAGACTCCAACCTCTCCACAATGGCCAAGACCAGAGAGCTGTGTAAGGACCTCGGGGATAAAATTGTAGACCTGCACAAGGCTGGGTTGGGCTACAGGACAATAGGCAAGCAGCTTGGTGAGAAGGCAACAACTGTTGGCGCAATTATTAGAAAATGGAAGTTCAAGATGACGGTCAATCAACCTCGGTCTGGGGCTCCATGCAAGATCTCACCTCGTGGGGCATCAATGATCATGAGGAAGGTGAGGGATCAACCCAGAACTACACGGCAGGACCTGGTCAATGACCTGAAGAGAGCTGGGACCACAGTCTCAAAGAAAACCATTAGTAACACATTACGCCGTCATGGAATGAAATCCTGCAGCGCACGCAAGGTCCCCCTGCTCAAGCCAGCGCATGTCCAGGCCCGTCTGAAGTTTGCCAATGACCATCTGGATGATCCAGAGGAGGAATGGGAGAAGGTCATGTGGTCTGATGAGACAAAAATAGAGCTTTTTGGTCTAAACTCCACTCGCCGCGTTTGGAGGAAGAAGAAGGATGAGTACAACCCCAAGAACAGCATCCCAACCGTAAAGAATGGAGGTGGAAACATCATTCTTTGGGGATGCTTTTCTGCAAAGGGGACAGGACGACTGCACCGTATTGAGGGGAGGATGGATGGGGCCATGTATCGCGAGATCTTGGCCAACAACCTCCTTCCCTCAGTAAAAGCATTGAAGATGGGTCGTGGCTGGGTCTTCCAGCATGACAACGACCCGAAACACACAGCCAGGGCAACTAAGGAGTGGCTCCGTAAGAAGCATCTCAACGTCCTGGAGTGGCTTAGCCAGTCTCCAGACCTGAACCCAATAGAAAATATTTGTAGGGAGCGGAAAGTCCGTATTGCCCAGCGACAGCCCCGAAACCTGAAGGATCTGGAGAAGGTCTGTATGGAGGAGTGGGCCAAAATCCCTGCAGCAGTGTGTGCAAACCTGGTCAAGACCTACAGGAAACGTATGATCTCTGTAATTGCAAACAAAGGTTTCTGTACCAAATATTAAGTTCTGCTTTTCTGATGTATCAAATACTTATGTCATGCAATAAAATGCAAATTAATTACTTAAAAATCATACAATGTGATTTTCTGGATTTTTGTTTTAGATTCCGTCTCTCACAGTTGAAGTGTACCTATGATAAACATTACAGACCTCTACATGCTTTGTAAGTAGGAAAACCTGCAAAATCGGCAGTGTATCAAATACTTGTTCTCCCCACTGTATGCGTCAAACTGTATGCGGGTTGACAGAAATGGTAGCAGAAGGTGAATGTTGAACACATATCTAGATGATGCTGCATACTATTTTGTGCAATAACACAGTCGGTGTGTTCAAAGGATTATTCAATCATTGCATCCAAACTGCTAGCACACTTGAACGAGCCTCTGCATAGCCAGGCACTAAAATAGAACTTGGTTCTATTTGTGAAACTTGACACGCTGCAAGTCCCGCCTTTCCCATCTCCTCATTGGTTTTTAGGAGCATATACCCACATGGGTGATTGAAAGATGAACTAAGGTCCACACTCCTGTCCAGTTGGTGGTGGTAGTGCACCTTAAAGTTGGTTTCCAACCGCCATATAAAGTCCAAAGAAGAAGAAGACTGGAGGAGAGATTACTAGAAACTAACTCTGTTTACCCTTTTATCTGTGGATTAATTGTTGGCGTAGAGGACCTTGTGTATTTCAGGTAAAATAACAACCCAATGTTTATATCCCAGGACATATTAGCTAGTAACAGCAAGCCATGAATGTTTCATGGTTTCGACCTGTCCCCAAATTAATATAGTTGGTTCAGAGTTCGTTTTGATGTTTCAACCTGCGTGTCCTGATGGCGTCTGGTGTGGATGGACAAAAACAACATGAGCGCGATGGCGCAACGTGGACGCGCTCCCGGTGTAATCAGCATGCAAGTCAGTAGCTTTGTTCCACAGCGCCAGTGTGCTACGCACATACCATCTCTGGTCCAGGGCGTTATGTTAACCACTGTTGCTGGTGCAGCTAGCTAGTACACACCAGCAAGCTAATACACACTACTACTAGTTGGCTACCAGGGTTTCCGTAATGAAAATGTGGTCCCGGACATTTGACCGGCAGCAATTTAATTTACATGTACAGGACCCATATGCATTGGATGCGTAACAGTGGAGGCTCCTCACAGGAGGAAGGGTAGGACCTCCTTTAGTGAATTTGATAAAAAATGAAAAGTGAAACATTGAAAAAGTTATCCTTTTTAGATAAAACTATACTAAATATATTCACGTCACCAAATCATTTATTAAAATGCCTTTTACTGAGGAGTGGCTTCCGTCTGGCCACTTTACCAAAAAGGCCTGATTGGTGGAGTACTGCAGAGATGGTTGTCCTTCTGGAAGGTTCTCCCATCTACACAGAGGAACCCTAGAGCTCTGTCAGAGTGACCATCAGGTTCTTGGTCACCTCCCTGACCAAGGCCCTTCTCCCCCGATTGCTCAGTTTGGCCGGGCAGCCAGCTCTAGGAAGAGTCTTGATGGTTCAAAACTTCTTCCATCTAAGAATGATAAGGCCACTGTGTTCTTGGGGACCTTCAATGCTGCAGACATTTTTTGGTACCCTTCCCTTGATCTGTGCCTCGACACAATCCTGTCTCGGAGCTCTATGGACAATTTCTTTGACCTCATGGCTTTGAATTTGCTCTGACATGCACTGTCAACTGTGGGACCTTATATAGACAGGTGTGTGCCTTTCCAAATCATGTCCAATCAATTGAATTTAGCACAGGTGGACTCCAATCAAGTTGTAGAAACATCTCAAGGATGATCAATGGAAACAGGATGCATCTGAGCTCAATTTCGAGTCTCATAGCAAAGGGTCTGAATACTTATGTAAATAAGGTGTGTATATATATATACACTGCTCAAAAAAATAAAGGGAACACTAAAATAACACATCCTAGATCTGAATGAATGAAATAATCTTATTAAATACTTTTTTCTTTACATACTTGAATGTGCTGACAACAAAATCACACAAAAAGTATCAATGGAAATCAAATGTATCAACCCATGGAGGTCTGGATTTGGAGTCACCCTCAAAATTAAAGTGGAAAACCACACTACAGGCTGATCCAACTTTGATGATGTAATGTCCTTAAAACAAGTCAAAATGAGGCTCAGTAATGTGTGTGGCCTCCACGTGCCTGTATGACCCCCCTACAACGCCTGGCATGCTCCTGATGAAGTGGCGGATGGTCTCCTGAGGGATCTCCTCCCAGACCTGGACTAAAGCATCCGCCAACTCCTGGACAGTCTGTGGTGCAACGTGGTGTTGGTGGATGGAGCGAGACATGATGTCCCAGATGTGCTCAATTGGATTCAGGTCTGGGGAACAGGCGGGCCAGTCCATAGCATCAATGCCTTCCTCTTGCAGGAACTGCTGACACACTCCAGCCACATGAGGTCTAGCATTGTCTTGCATTAGGAGGAACTCAGGGCCAACCGCACCAGCATATGGTTCAAGGGGTCTGAGGATCTCATCTCGGTACCTAATGGCAGTCAGGCTACCTCTGGCGAGCACATGGAGGGCTGTGCGGCCCCCCAAAGAAATGCCACCCCACACCATGACTGACCCACCGCCAAACCGGTCATGCTGGAGGACGTTGCAGGCAGCAGAACGTTCTCCACGGCGTCTCCAGACTCTGTCACGTCTGTCACGTGCTCAGTGTGAACCTGCTTTCATCTGTGAAGAGCACAGGGTGCCAGTGGCGAATTTGCCAATCTTGGTGTTCTCTGGCAAATGCCAAACGTCCTGCACGGTGTTAAGCTGTAAGCACAACCCCCACCTGTGGACGTCGGGCCCTCATACCACCCTCATGGAGTCTGTTTCTGACCGTTTGAGCAGACACATGCACATTTGTGGCCTGCTGGAGGTCATTTTGCAGGGCTCTGGCAGTGCTCCTCCTGCTCCTCCTTGCACAAAGGCGGAGGTAGCAGTCCTGCTGCTGGGTTGTTGCCCTCCTATGGCCTCCTCCACGTCTCCTGACTGAAGGGTCATTCCGATAATGACTAATATGTATACTGAACACAAATATAAACGCAACATTTTCTATACACACAAAAGCTTATTTCTCTCAGATTTGGTGCACAAATTTGTTTACATCTCTGTTAGTGAGCATTTCTCCTTTGCCAAGATAATCCATCCGACAGGTGTCACATGTCAAGAAGCTGATTAAACAGCATGATCATCATAAAAGTGCTGTCTGACAGATTTTCCACTAAAAGGCTCTGTATCTGTATGGTGTGAATGTGATACATAAGGAATATAATACACACGTCAATTTAATTCTGCAAAATTAACCTATAGACCGATAAGCATGACTGGTCAAATGTATTTACAGCAATGAAAAAAAAAACATATTTTTTCAAAAACCATATTTCGCAAATTTTTTATTTTCTTCTCCCGGACAATTGGCAGGTTCCAATTTTATTTATCGGCTTTAAAAAAAAGAAAATGCTATTATAGGCTAACTGGAAACACTGCTAGCTACCTACCTACCTAGCAGTGGTGTAGGGGTGCTTTTCAGAAGTGGGTAAACTCAAGTTTTGCCCCCAAAAAATCCAAAACGGCCTGCCGGTGAAGGAAAGGCGCCCTGTGTGAAAAATGCTGTTTTCCTATAGTTTTTTAAATTCTGATTTACTATATTTTTTCAGGTTTTCACTCAAAATCCACACTTTTTAGAAAAACGACCATGGGAAAAATAAAAATATTTGGAGGGTGTAGTTGCCTTTTAATTCAATTTCTCACCTAGCAAGAGACCATTTGGCTAGCCGTGTTTCTGTACTGTACAATGTAGGCCTACATGGCAGAGTTAGCAAAACAAATGCCCTCCCAATTGATACAAACCATCATTATTTAATTCTGCCAGGTAGGCTGACTTTGCAGTCAACATTAAATTGGGAAGGTTTTTTGGGAAAGCCTATAGAAATGTTCATTCAAACCGCTCATGATGACTGAATTGCGCATTACAAAGATTCAACCAAGACTTCGGACCAAACTTTTTCAATGCATATCCATTGTTTCCTTAGTTAGCATATACTTGTAGATATAAGTTGAAACGTCTATTGTACTACATAATTGATACGGCGTATACCTTCACTATACTACTTGGATATGCATCAGTGGGGATTAAGAAGTAATACGCAATACCCACTGAAAGAAAAGCCCCCACTACACCACTGCTACCTAGTATACACTAGCTAGCTAGTACACACTACTAGCTAGTATACCTAGTATAATAATAATAATATGCCATTTAGCAGACGCTTTTATCCAAAGCGACTTACAGTCATGTGTGTATACATTTTTACATATGGGTAGTCCCGGGGATCGAACCCACTACCCTGGCGTTACAAGCGCCATGCTCTACCAATTGAGCTACAGAGGACCACATTGAGCTACAGAGGACCACAAGCTAGCTAGTACACACTACTAGCTAGCTAGTACACATTACTAGCTAGCTAGTACACTGGCTCGCTAATACATGCACCATTCAACCTGTCTGAGCCCGTATACCTCACAGCGTCTGTGTCCTGAGAAGGTATCTGCTGGAGCCAGACCCTATTGAAAGATACTGGACTAATGTATAATGAGAAAACTATAATTTTATCAATTAAAAATCTGTCAAAGTAAAAGTTATAATTTGTCTGACATGCATCTGATTATAATTAGCTTGCCTACATATAACAGTTGTTTTGGACTGTGCCATTCATATCAACACAAAATGTGTCACCACACAAACTCAATCGCTTTCTTGCTCGCTCACACGAACACCTATATGGGTGCAACTGAATCTGCAACACCAGATAAATTAATTCTGCCTATTACTTTCACATTCTGCCTTCACAGCTATCCGTGTTGTTCACATTCTGCCTTCACAGCTATCCGTGTTGTTCACATTCTGCCTTCACAGCTATCCACGATGTTCACATTCTGCCTTCACAGGTATCCATGTTGTTCACATTCTGCCTTCACAGGTATCCATGTTGTTCACATTCTGCCTTCACAGGTATCCATGTTGTACACATTCTGATATGACAGGTATCCATGTTGTTGTTGCTGGCAACAAAAGCACCCCTGAATTTCTCTCTTTATCTCAGTCAGTAATTCATATTTACATGATAAGAGGATCAATGGTAACCTCTTTGGTCTCAGTCAAATTTAAACCATGATGTCCCAGCACCAGGCTGTATGGTTTTACAGTTAGCTCTGAGCTCTGGCTCGATAGTAAGGAGCAAACATGGCGTCCCACATCTGCTTCAGCATCTGCAGCAGCCGTGAGATCCAGGGGAAAGATGAGGGATGAGCTGTGGAGAAGCCATATCCAAGAATCATCATAACATTTCTGCTCTTTATGTTCTGACATCTAGTCGCTGTTCAGTGCTTAGGTGCTTAAATACTGTAGGTAGGTTGGGTGAAATCAAAAGCTAGACAAAAGCTGTATACTAAGTGCTAGACTAGTATTAACTAAAGCAACCACATTATTTGGATGTTGACAGTTTCTTTCAATGATTGAATAATAGGCTTACAACATTGTTTTTTAGTTTTTTACCTGGATCCATCCGGACAAAAAGCATATAGAGAAGGACCACAGCCAGAAAGACTCTCCGAAGAGGGAATGACCCAGCACTGGCTACTGATAGTCCTCTGTTCAAAAGCCTAAGCAAGGCCTCAAGTTTCTGAATCACAGCACCTATAAAGCACAAACACACAGTCAGTGACAATGTCTGGAAGCATTAAAGTCAATACAAAGGGTTAATGCAACTGTAAGTGAGATGCACCTTGAGGTGTGTTAAGTCCAGCAGCCACCACCACAGGACTGGGGTTTGGACTAGGGCTTGGAGGTTGTTCTTGGCTGAGGTTCTCTTTATTCTCCACGATATCCAGTGCTGTTTGTTTCTGGTCCTCTGTGAATGCAATACGTCCCACCTCACCAAAAACCAACTCCCGTGCCTCTGTCATATGACCTAAAGGCACTAGAATATGCAGTAAATACAGCTCTGCTACAGTCCCAAATCCTGCCAATCTCCCATTGGATGGACAGCACAGCCAAACATTGCCTGCCTCCTGCATCATAGCTTGCTCACCCACTTTGGTGTAGAGGAGTATGCTACAAAAATGAAGAGGGACATAGAGAAAAACATGACTGCAGGGTGAATTGGGGAATACATTTACATGCCAATTGAAAACATAGATCACAATGTGCAGTGTCTGCAGTGTATAGCACTGTTATAAATGGTGTGCAAGACATGAGTGCCTGCATATTAACCATGTTAAATTTTCCTCACCACATCTGCATTATTTTGGCAGGTATTTTCTCAGGGCACTCATAATGCTGCAGAATCCATGCCAGTACACCAGGCCACTGATTGAGTTCAGCCAATGCTTGAATCCCCACAATGCAGAGTGCAGCCTTCAACTCCCCATACCTGAAAGTCAGATGGACAACGGTTTAGTCCAAATATGCAATGCAACAAGGACCATGTAATAAAAGCAGAGCAAATTCTAAGAATTAGTACCCACCTGCTGTCCTCTTGCTCCGCGTTTAAAAGGCTCTCCAGACCTCTCTCACATGTGTCGAAAGCAGCTTGGAAATCCTTCTGAACCATTAACTGTTCGGCAGCTGAGTCCAACAGGCCATGTGTCAGTCCAAAATTTGAACTCAGCGGGGGGCTTTGACGGACAGACACGAAGCTGAGAGTGTGAGCCATTGAGGTGGACGAGTTGCTCCTCATTGTACTGTATGCAGCTAACGTTACTTCTATTTAGTTGTTTGTGCCGACAAATTGTAAGACGCATCACCGACTGTCAACCAAACATTAGTAATGTATTTACCAATATGTTAAACGTGCCGTCAATTATGTGGTGGTGGTAAGTTTAATTGCAAAAAACTGTGGTACCTGCCTTGTACAAATGTGTTTACATTCTGAGGCAATCTACATGCTCTTATTTGACTTCCGCACTCGCCACCAATCATATTCAGAGATTACTCATGAACACAAGGCAGCCAATCACTTGCGTTCTTATTCATACGCGAACCTCCAGGTACGCTTGATTTAGCTCGCCCGGCGTGCGGGATGAGTGGGTCTTTTGGTACCTCTTTTGACACCCTCCAAAATATGCTTGCAATTCAAAGAAAAGGGAATGTTGCCAATCAGATTTCCCTATGCGACATTAAAGTATTAATTAACTAATTCATAAATGTAACCACTGAATATGATAATTGATTTGTGGGATCTCTGGAACAATGGAGCATTTGCACATACCTTTGCATCACTGTTTTTGTAAAAGGACAGAAAGTGATGAAGTTGTAGAACTCAAAATAACTCTATGCCATAAGCTAATTATACTGTTGCAAAGTAAGGTTTGGGTGTTAAGGGACTTTCATTTCCTCAATTTTCTGTTGAGAGACCGATTTAGAAGGTTCTAAATATTAGACATGATGTTTGATGTTGGACCTGCAGCAATTTGAAATACTTATTTTTCATAGCAGTAGGGATCTCTCCCAAACATCCTCACAACGTTCAGCTGAATAAACATGAAAAGAAGAAAAAAAGAAACGGCATACTTTCCCTTTCTGTATTATTCAAGTCACATAATGTGGTGGTGTAGAGTGGTGACATGTCAGATAAGTTATTGTGAATACAACACTTAGTTTCCCAGAAATGCCGGCACCCATTGTCAACACATGCAATTACAACAAAACATGTCAAATGAAAATAAAGCAGCTATAATGCCTTTGTTACCTGCTGTGTTGACACATTTTTAACAATAGGCAGCCAAGCGACGGATGAACTGAAATGGACAGCCACAGTCTCCCAAGCGTTATGAAATGAGAGGCCAGATACATTTTTTAACAGTTTCATGTTGAATCCTCACATGAGGTCTCACTCTGAAGTTTCTTTGCTCATGACAGAAATACTTCACAGTTCACACACAGGGGCAAACTACATGACCTTGCTGTTATTCATCAGGAGTGTGTGCAGAGCGACAGAAATGAGAAGCCAATTGTTTGACGATGCATTCAACCCCATTTTAGTGTTGAAATTTGCGTCAAATTTGATGTTATTTGGTTATGATTTGGTTATGAATGAATTATACTGATATTTTCTGGATATTAGAGAGGACATTCAATAAGGCCATCTGCTCCTATAGCGCGTATACTTTCTCTGTTGTGAAGTTGTTGTTGAAAGCAACCCCCCTGTCATCTGTACAGCTGCCGCTACAAGGGGGGTTTGGGTTCTCGCCCCATGGTATTCCGTGTTTAAAGCTGTGCACACAAGCAAAACTTCACACACACAGGCACACACACACACCACGAAGACCACAAAAACTTTAGTGAGCACACACACGCATGCACGCACTTACACACACACACACACACACACACACACACACAACACACACACACACACACACACACACACACTCACACTTACACACACACACACACACACACTCACACTCAGTACAATGAATGCAGCATGGCTTTGACCCGTCTAAACTGCCTTAATTACTCATGTTGTTGAAGCTTGGGAAGACTGCTGGCTTTGTTCCCCGCTTGTGCAGGATTGGTGAGTTTCCGTGGTTACTGACAGATCTGATTTGCAAGAGCCAATGAGGGGGTAAAAAACAAGTTCAGGGGAGAGGGCCTTGTGCAAGTGTGAGGGGTATACTAGTCTACCCGTTCAGCTCCTACAGCTCCACTCAGCTTGTCTCGTCTCTCAGCTTGTCTTCTATACTCGTCCTTCTACATACAGCAGTCTTCATTGGATACATACAAGTAGTTTCAGTATAAGAAGAGTGATATGAATGTTATAGTTTATCCATAGAATGAATTACAATACTTTTATGTTCATAAAGAGAGAATACTTTTTGTTCACTTAAAGGGACTACTTCTGTGTTTTCTTCAAAACTGGAATGTGAAAGGATTTTTGCTGCTTAAAAGTAGCTTTTGGTATTTGATTTATTCACTGGAAGGTGTTGGTGTCTGCTGGCTGTCTAAACAAGGTGTATGCACACCTTAAAGGCTGCTGAGGCATGGGCATAGATGGAGTTCAGTCAAAGGAAGAGGGGGATGAGGTGAAGGAGAAGGAGAAGAAAGAAGATAAGGTGATCCACCTGAGAAGGACGATAGGTCTGCTTCCGGCTATCTCCTTCATCATCGGTACCGTGGTGGGCAGCGGCATCTTCATTGCACCAAAAGGGGTTCTGATGAACAGTGGTAGTGTGGGGCTGTCACTGGTGGTGTGGGCACTGTGTGGGGTCCTCTCGACCTTTGGTAAGTACCAACTGTCATTTTAAAAGAGGTAGTGGGTACCTATGAAGGCAGGAGGTGTATAATTGTGATGTTTGAGAGTGGCAGTTGCTAACATAATATCCGTCCTGAAACATTTTTATTAAGAATTCACACATCAGGTTGATTCAGTATTGTTAAAGGTCCAATGCAGCCATTTTTATCTCAATATCAAATAATTTCTTGGTAACAATTAAGTACCATACTGTGATTGTTTATATACAAAAAGAGCTTCTTAGCAAAAAGCAATTTCTGACTCTGTCTGGGAGAGGTCTGAATGAGGAGCCTAATTGGAGGAGCCTAATGGGAGGGATATGTAACCTGAAAACTAGTTGTTATTGGCAGAGAGGTATATTATTGTTATTGGTCTATTAACTTATACTGCCTGGTGATGTCGACAGGCAGGCCAAAACTCCACCCATGCAAAACGAGCTGACATTTCTGGCAGTCTTTTCAAACAGCTCTTACACCACTAAAAGGGCATTATCATCATTTTCCAAATTTCACAGTATTTTTCCAACCTCATAGTGTGGAAATATATATAAAACACTGGTAAATCACGTTGTTGACTGCACTGCCCCTTCAATTCACAGGCAGCACACAACATTCACTCCCCAAATGGAAGTGTAGGCTACCCCAGAAGTGTAATCTAGTACTTTCTGTATTTTCTTTGGCAGTAAACTGTGCTGGATGTATTCACTTAGCTGAATCATCTGGCCAGGGTCCACAATCCTCTGGTATTTGCACATGCGATCAACCTTTGCACCTAAAAAGTAACTTTCACTTATCTTATTTAATTAAGATAACAGTTCCCTGTACAGGTTATTGTCATACATGCCTCCACTATTACTTGTATCATTAACACACATTAACAATGTTTACTATTAAACTGATGGTTTAACATACAGATATAGGATCTTAATTTGAGCCAGTTTGCTACAGCAGGAAAAGGAGCCTGCAGGAACAGGAAATATGAATTATTATGTAGATTATAATTAATGGCCATTTTTGTAGGGGTTGATGCATTTTTCATTAGGGCAAATCAAGTCTGAAATTTCTTAGTGGAAATTACAAACTTTAGAAACCTTTTTAAACCTCAAATACACTACAAGTTTGCATTTCCTGCTGTGCAGGAAAATTCTCAGCAACAAAAGTGATCAAATTAAGATCTGTACTATTCATAAAGACTGTTTATAGGGTAATATCATATGGCTGACCAAATAAACAGATCAAAAGAGTAGCATGGGCTGAAAGCAGGGGGTGGATGTCTGGCTGATATTTTCCAAGTTTTCCCCCAGTTTTTAACTTTATTATACCACAGTTATAAGCACAGCTATAACTAATGATATGCACGGAATTATGAATATTTAAAAAAATCAGTTTCCTGAATGTATAGAGATACTGATACAATATAAAATATCCCAGCCCACTGAGCAAAAACGTGTTGAATCAACATTGTTTCAACATCATTTCAACCAACAAATTCAATGTGATGACGTTGAGTCAACATGGAAAACTGACTATATTTGAAAAAAGTAATCAACATAAGGGAATTTAGTATTTTTTTCACCCAACTTTTCACCTAAATCCAAAGACATGGTGACATTTTTTGTTGATTTCGCGTTGAATTCACGTTAGTTGACAACTCAACCAAAATCAAAACTAGACGTTGAACTGACGCCTGTGCCCTGTGGGAGATGTGTCATCTGTCTCTGTCCTTTGTCCAGGGGCCTTGTGCTATGCTGAGCTGGGAACCACTTTTACAAAGTCAGGGGGCCACTACACCTATCTGCTGGAGACATTAGGACCCTTGCCTGCGTTCCTGCGACTCTGGGCAGAGTTTTTATTTATCAGGTCAGCAGCCTGTATCTCTGTGTCTCTTTTCATACACTCTTAGAATAGTTTAGGAGACAGTATAGTTTAGTACAAGTTTGTCTAATGCTTTTACTGTACTCCATGTGGACTGTAAAGGCCAGCTGTAGCCTCCTACGTGTCCCTGGCGTTTGGACGTTATGTGGTGGAACCCTTTTTCAGCCCTTGTGCTCCTCCCACAGCACTGATTAAACTGGTCAGCATCCTTGGAGTGAGTGAGTGACAAAATACAATCGATATGACTTTGTGAATTGGTATGATTACTATGGAACGCTATTTCAACTAGGCCTATCTTCCCCCTCTCCCTGTAGCATTTGTGGTGGCGATAAACTGCTGGAGTGTGACCCTGGCCTCTCGCACCCAGGTCACACTGACATTCATCAAGATGTTTGCCCTGGTCCTAATCATCGTTCCTGGCATCATGGCATTAGCCAGAGGTGGGGTAGTGGTTTTGGTATAGTAACATGATACATGATACAAACAATATACCCAGGACCCTATTCAATCAAACCTGCTAACTCGTCTTTCTCTCTCCCCTCTCTAGGACAGACAGAGAACTTCCAGAATGGCTTTGAGATTGATACACTAACACTGGATAAGCTACCATTGGCCTTTTATTCTGGTCTATATGCCTATGGTGGATGGTAAGCAGTGCACAAGAAAATCAAATGTCATACCATTGTTGTGTTATCCATAAAGAACTGTTAACTGTTAAATGGACATCTTTTACTTTCTTTGCAGGTTTTATCTGAATTTTGTCACAGAGGAGGTCATTAACCCAAATAGGTATTTTAAAAAAAAAATGTAACGATGTGATTGACCATTTATTTCCACACAAAAAAATCAAGTACCCTCATGTCTGTGTTTGTATACTCTATTTTGTCAGAAACATCCCACTGGCAATCATCTTCTCCATGGTGACGGTGACTGTGTGCTACGTTCTTGTCAACGTGGCCTATTACACCATGATGACAGCAGAGGAGCTTCTTGTGTCTGACGCGGTGGCTGTGGTCAGTACTGTGGCATCAGATGGTCAAAGCCAAGAGAAGGAAAAATAACTACATGTGAAATGAACTGCATGTCAGCCTAATATATGCTGTCTGTTTATCGCAGACGTTTGCCAACCGTGCTCTTCACGGCTTGGCCTCTGTGATTCCTTTACTGGTTGCTGTATCCTGTCTTGGGGCGCTGAACGGTGGCTTCTTTGGAGCACCCAGGTAATTAAGCTGCACTCTTGTAATTCAGAAACGTGCACCTTGATGTACGCTTGGCTGGTTCTATTCACGAGACGTCTGTCTGTCCGTGGTGCAGGATGCTGTTCGTGGGGGCCAGGGAGGGACACTGGCCAGTCCTCTTCTCAATGATCCACATCCGTAGAAACACGCCTCTGCCTGCTGTGCTGCTGCTGGTATAGTCTAATACTACTGCCCATAGTCTACCTTGTCAACCCTATTAGAGTCCCTTTATAGACATCTGTATTGTGGGGATGTCCTTCTTGGGTTGATGAGGTAGGTCTATGCTTTCATGGTCCAGTTGAGATGTTTGTGTTGTCCTTCCTGCAGTATCCGTTGGTGGTAGTGATGGTGGCCAGAGGAGAGATCTTCCAGCTGATCAACTTTGCTTCCTTCTCTCGGTGGCTCTTCATTGCCATGGCGACCATGGGGATGCTCATCCATCGCTACCGCTTCCCCCTCCACCCAAGACCCTTCAAGGTTGCTATGACTACTATAATTAACTTATGTCACTTGTTTGGTACTTACTAGTTGGCTGTTTCTTGACAGTTTACCTATGGTTTTATTCCTATGATCAGCTCATAATTCTATTCTGTCTACTAGGTGCCACTGGCCATCGCAGTCACCTTCACAGTGGTGTGCTTCTTCATCGTTGGGCTGTCTCTGTACTCAGACCCCTGGAACACAGGGGGCAGCTGTGCTCTCACCCTATCTGGAGTCCCTGTCTACTACCTGACCGTCCACCACTCACGCCTGCCCACCAGATGGAGAAAGATCTTCAGTGAGTGACACACCCTTATCATGCCACTATAATGCCATTGTCATCATACTGAATTACTGATAGCAGAAATGTCAGGTGAGGGTGGTGTTGTGGGGGATAGTAATGGCTGTTGCGAGTCACTGAAGGGACTGTCTCTCTATTCTCCAGACTACTGCAGTAAGCAGCTTCAGATATTGCTGGAGGTGGCTCAGCAGGAAGTCCAGACCTACTGAAGACACCTCTTCACTCACACTGACCAGACAGACACCCATTGCTGTGCCCTCCATATTGTATATGGATGTGAATACCAAGGCATGTTAGTTAGATTAGGAAAATAATGAGCTGTTAACTCTACAACACTGACGATTTTTTGTTTTGGTTTACTTGAATTAAGGAGGTGTACTTTTTACGCTTTGAATACGAGATAGTTTTGTGTGGATTATTTACATTTAAATGACGTTCATCAACAAATGTTGACATACTGGTATTTGGTACTTAAATAAAACAAGAGAAACTGTATTATTATTCATTTATTAAATGTACATAGGATTCATAAAAGACATGGTTGTCTTAAAACATCCTAAATTGGCAGATTTACCCATGTCAGCTTTTCCCCAAACCTTGCTCTGGGGTCTGCTGTACTGGTCGTGTGATAAATACTGAACAAGAATGTAAAAGTTATTGTATATTATGTGGTGTTCATGCCTCTTCCAGTTTATCATACTTTCAATTATTATAGGGGCCAAGAAACCCAAGACTGTGTGAATCTAGTCAAAGTTAAGACCATTCAAACATCTAAACCCAACCCCAACAATGTTAAAAGGAGCAGCAGTCACCGGGTTTCATTGTACAGTCAGCACACTCACCCAAAAAGAGAAAAGGCACATTAAACATTTAAAAGACACCAACTGTAAAAATATGAAGCCAAGTCAATCACCAGCAATCCCATGTCATGATATTAAACACTAGCAAGGAGACAGGATGCTACTCAAACTTTAACCTGAATGTGTCCACCACTGCTAACAAAGGAACTGAGAATAACTGTAGAAAGCCATACATCGTTTAGAATTGTTCATATAAAAATGATGCAGTCTTCCTCTCCCATAACAAAGTAACAATTGTGACCCTTTCATCAAGAAAAAACTCATGCATTAAATGTTTAATCTTCGAGCCAAAAAACTTCCAATGACAATTCAAACATACATTTGTTTTATTCTAATATTTCCTTTCTACACATAGACGGAGTAAGATAGGAATAGATGACATCACCATACTACTTTTACATAGTTAATCACTCACTACTACCAGTCTTAACAAGTTCACAAAGCAGATTGGACATTGATGTGTCATACCCAGAATAAATTACAAAAGTGCACTAGAGTAAGTGTTGACTTGGTCAATCAAAAATGGCATCTCCTTTGGCTGTAGACAGTCCTTGTTGTTAGTCATTTTATTACTTTCCCTCATTGGTGGTTGATCATCTGTACGTCCTTTTAGAGATCCAATCAAATGGAGACTCCCTCACTTTCAGAGGCACCAGGTCTTATATTCTAGCATGGTAGTGTCGGTCTCACTGGATAGTTAGATAAATCATCAATGTATACATTTACATTTGAAAGAGCAAAACATATTACAAAATGTGCAAATTAAACATACATATTATATGTAGGCTACACACATCAACATACAACTCAGACATACTTTTCTGTTCTCTAGCAGTTCCTTGAAGACTATCATGGGAGGCAGTGAATTGTTATCAAAATATGGTAGCTTAAGCTTGTGGCATGAAACAACCAAGCGAGAGAAAAAAGGAGTGGAAGAAGACAGGTTAGTAGAGACAAATTCAACCAATGACAAAGGAAAAACTCTAAGAAAGAAAACTCCCACATTTACAGATTGGAAGACGATATGTGAGCAGCTTGGGTAATGATGAGACTATGTCATCCTTCTCATCTAGCAAAGAACTTGGAAAGGGTCGCGCTCTCTGCTCGGCAGTGGCTACTTGAGTTCAGGAATGAGCTGAGACCAGCTGATGTTCCCCATACCCAGATCATCATCCTCCAGGCCAGAGAAGCTGATATCCACTAAGATTTTGCTCAGGCTGTCATTCATGGTGTCCAGGACCAGGCCCTCCGTAAGGGAGCGGTTGGCTGTGGAGGGACCCCCGATCTGGAGCTCTCTGGAGCAGCCCTGCAGACGCTCTGGCCCCGGGGAGTAGGTGTCGGTGGGGCCAGCCGCGGATGAGGAACGTGCCGAGGTGAGCAGCTCGCGAGGGGAGTTGAACAAGGGCAGGTCCTTAAAGGGAGTGCTACTGAAGCTGAAGGGGGTGTGGTCATGGTGGTGCGGGGTGAAGCTGGAGCCTGGGGTGCGGATGGGGCTGAAGTCCAGCATGCCACCTCTCTCCTTGCCCAGCGGGGTCACCCTCCAGGGCTCTAGCAGCACAGTGGGTGGCTTGCTGGGGGTGGAGGAGGCTGGGTGGCTGCTCTTGATGGGGGTCTTGAAAGAGTACTCCCTGCAGGGGCTGTTATGCTCCGGCCGGGGGTCGAGCTCGGCGTCCTGGAACGCGGAGCCGTCGGAGGCCAGGCCCGAGTCGAAGAAGGTGCTGTCGGGGAAGAGGAGCACGGGCTCCTCGTTGGAAGGTAGGACGAGGCGCTGCTTGCGACGGGAGCTGCTGACTTCCCTCCTGGCGTTGGTCAGAACAGCCCTAGGGGTAACGGGGGTCAGGGGCACACAGACCTGCTCCTCCTTCATCTCCTCAATGGGAGGAGCATACAGCATCACTGTGGAGGCATCACTGTACGTAACCTGCCAAACACAGTCACAACATGTATTCATTTAGTAATTATAGGGAATCAAGTAACCTCCCGGCACTTCACAATAAAAAGGTCTGGGTGATGGTGAGACTTTACCTTAGGAGCTATACGGACCCTCTTGCCCCCTCCTGAGGAGCTAGATTTCTGCTGGAGGGCAGAGAGAGGGAGCTGTGTGGACGAGGACAGGAAGAGTGACTGGGTGAAAGGCAGCTGGATGGGGACTAGGTAGGAGTCTGCACGAGGAAGAAGGGGCTTCATCTTCCTCTCTGAACATATGGAAGAGAGAAAAAAGAAAGTCATGAGGCAACAGCTACACATCAATAATTTCCAACTCTCCAAGGTTTGGTAATCGGCCAGCTGCTTGTTTCCCCCCACGTTTTTCACTCACTCACCAGGGGCACCGCCAGATGTTTTCTTGATTTCAGGAGCAATTCTCTTCTGTTGCTGCGGGAGACAATTGAGACATTAACTTCTTATTCACAACACAGCTATTCTAATCTAAATGGTCCCTTTGTCTTCTCAAAGTCAACATATGAAGACAGCATGAGTTAGACCTGTGTAGGAAAAGTTACTGACTATGTACGGTGGTCCTGTGATGTCTGCCTCTCTCTGCCTACACCTCGCATCTCTTCCCTGAAATTAAATGTCAGCTTAATGAGCTAAACAAGAGCAGATGGAAAGCATGTCCTGTCCTCCCTGACTGACTGCTCTGACGACTGCCCCAGAGGAAAAGGGTAAAACAATCTTACGTGTTGGTCATAGACCTGCATGGTCCGAGGCGAGATGGAAGTTGGATCAGACTCAGTCTGTGGGGTGGGGTGGAAAATTGGTCAAAAGGGACAGAGTTATCATAAAGATAAGAATCAAAAAGTAGATTGCAGAGTTAGACAGTTATATGCAGGGATTTGTCATTTTGTGGAGTCCCATAGAGTTGTGATTGGCTGGTGACAAAATATGACTTAGAACAGAAAAAGTGGGTAACATGCCGACCTTGTAAACCTGGTCAAGAGTAAGGCAGCGATTGGCCTCTGGGCGGATGGTCCAGTAGGAGACCTTGCCATCTTGTGTCGTCTCACGGATGAACATGTCATGCAAGGAGAGATTGTGGCGGATGGAATTCTGGCAGAGGAGCATAGACAATATCAAACTAAGAGGATGTGGCTTATGGCATTGGCAATTATACACGTTTTTGTTGGGTAGTTAAGGGGTATTTTTCTGCTTCTATTTTAACATGATCTTGTCCTCAACTATTACAGTGGCACCAATAAAATCTTTATCTGTGACCAAGGGCTTATTGTGGCTGTTTACCTTCCAGCCTGGCTTGGCCACCTTTCTGAAATATGGAAAGTGGTCCTCAATCCAAGTGTAGATCTCTTTCAATGTCATCCTCCTGCTCTTCTTACTGTTGATGGCAAACTGAATCATCGCCATGTATGAGTAGGGTGGTCTCTCTGACAAGGGGTCTTTGACAACCCTGTGTGCTTCCATTCGCTCACTTTGTGACTGTGTGCAAAACAGAACAAAAGAGAGGTTGGTTTTGTTTGGCCCATTTAGACACTACTCTTTTAAGACTCAACAAATGCAGCAAGCATGCAGCACTAATATCACACTTGAGTGCAACACTGTTGAAACATACTAGATAAAATTATAACATGTCGCCGGTGACACCCTCCTTGAGCATCACTGTTTACGTACGTCCGTTGACAATCACACTGAGATGCTAAAAGAGGAGACAAACCTGGAGAATCTGTTGGCAAGCATCATGATTCTCTTTGTTGGCAGCTTTCTTAGCAGGATCTGGTCCAAGACTGTCTGTATTCATCCTCCCAAGCCACTGAATGTTAGTAAGGCTGTCATCTAGTGGACTGCAATCAAGGTCCCTATTCACTGTGAAATAATAAAAACTGTGCGCATCAACAATGTTCATCATCAAACAGTTAAACAACACCTGAAAAGTGGAGGGTCATTTCACTCAAAATCATGAAAGCAAATAAACGTACATGGTTTAATTGTAGTTAAAGTCTTAGTATCCTGTAGGCAGTCCATTGTTGTTGCTTTCTCTGTGACAAGAGCTATGCTACTCCTACCAGAGCTGCGACCTCCCATATAGGTAGATTGACAGAAAGAATCTGCACCATCCTTGATAGAGCCGCCACCACTTAGAAGGATGAATTTGTTTGGTCCTTGAGAGCCACACTCCTTCCCCTTGGCAGTGAGGGCCCCAATTACACTCTGAAGGTCTGCAGTTTTGGGGATGACAACCACTTGTGTGCCAGGCATAGTGGGATGGTCCATGATACGGATGCCATCAGGAAAACACTGGCCACCTGAGGGTTTGGATGTGGATGCTTCCTTGCGCCGTAGTCCATCGGGCTCATCAATTGCTGCTGGTTCATTTCCCTGGAAAGGCAGCTTCCTCCTCTTGAGGATCAGGGGCCTTCTTGGGCTCTGTCTCATTCTGCTCAGATTACAGAGGCTGGCCCTTTGACTTCACTTGATGTCTGAAGAGATAACAGGTAACGTTAAAGTTAGAAGGTAACATTATTAAAGTTAGAATGTAGCGTTACAGCCACAACGACATTTTCCCAGGGGCAGAAAACGCTGGTTAGGTTAGAACTAGTTAACTATAAATGGCTAAATGATAGCTAAAACTGAGCTGATGACAACTTTCTACCGGAGTTGATGGGCTGCAACTAAGCAAGCAAGACTGTCGATACAAAAGTAGTTAGTTCAAAAATTATCCAAGGTTCTTTTGATAGGCAAATGAAAGTAGCGTTAGCTAGCAAGCGTAACCTGGTAACAACGCCGAATTAAATTTATATCGGATATTGATCACATCATGAACTGATGTTTTCCATAGTTGTGCTGACGTTACTCTAGTACTGTAACTTGCTAACCTAACTATACTCTAATATATTTGATTGTAGCAATAAATAAATAAAAAATAGCCAGCTAATTGTTAGCTAGCTAACGATTTTAGAATAGAAATACCAGTCTTTCAAATATCAGCTAACGTTATGGTTATGACGCACCGTCTTCTAGAACATGATGCTATTAGCTAGCTGCTAATCCACTGGTTTATAGTTAGCTAGCTAACACCCAAAGAATGTAAAAAAAATATTCCCAGAACTAGCTAATAGCTAGTTATCTAGCTAGCTAGCTGTAGTAGTTAGCGAGTCGCGCGTTTAGTTTCCCAGCTAGCTGCTAACGTTAGCAACTTTAACCAAGTTGAAAACAACAAACCTTCATATTATGGTGATGCAATGCGCTTTTGTCCTGGGTTACTTGACTCCTTAATTAAACAATGACAATAATCGGAAATTAAAGTTGACAGGTAGTTTGTAGATGTAATATACTAGGCATATCTCCACTTCCTTTCATTCAGTGTGAAAGTGAATGGGATTTTGAATTTTGGCGCAGTATTTGCGATTCCGGTTATGTGACCTTTGCATATCCAATGGACTGAAGCCATTGGATGTGAAAACCAATCAGCGTTAACCATTATGTTAACCAGGAAGAGTGGAGAAGGACAGCGAAGAAAAGCGATTGCCAAATGTTTGTCCTTTCTGATTCTGACATTATTTCTTGAAAACATTGATAGCTAGCTGCTTCTGGCATGCAATATACACCCAGGTACGTCGTCTGATATAAGCTGCATGGCTTACTGTGTTCATGGAAGGGTACTTCGCTCTGTTGTGTTATTTTGTGTTTGTAGTTAACTAGCTAGTAGTTAACCCAAGGCAAGTTATAGGCTATAGCGTTATAACGTTGCTTATATGCCAACTCTGTTTCATACTGCATTCCTTTGCTGCGTCACGTTATATTTCACCTTCTCTTTATCCCATCAGCTCCTCAGCCATGATCTCTGATGCCCCGTAAAACAAGAAAAAAATATTTGCCAAACTCACAGAAGCCGCCTCTGTTGTTTTTTGAGCCACCACTTGATGGCGCCAGATACCACACCGTGCCTCAAGTGAGAGGCGCACTCAATCCCAAGTCTTTTCTGTTTGAGGAGCAACGACAGAGCAGCAGCACAGCCTGTTGTTCTTGGGTAATCACAGTTTATCATCATACACATCAAAGTTATCATAATCAATCATATGTTATTAATGTAATTATTTACTATCTTCTGAACGTTGTCCGTTCAAACCATAGACTATAAATAATGTATAACAAACATGTTCAAAGATGTCTCATCTCTCTCTGTCACTCAATTTCAGGTGAGTCCACAGTTTGATCAACTACCGCCCCCTGCACCCAGAGGAAGGCGAGGGAGGAAGAAGTGCCTCTCTGCAACAAGCATTCTTGACAGGAGTTCTCAATTATCCAGAAAAAGTAGTGTTTGCAAGTTCCAATCCTTATCCTTTCAGAGAAGGTCAACAGCCCAAGCTCTCCATCAAAAGCATGCACGTGGAAAGAAAGCTGTAGAATCTGCTGTTGGGGCCAATGAGGATCAGCAGGGCTTGCAAGTGCATAAGGTCGGTTCTCTATGTACCGAGTACCTAAGTAACCAAGATGAAACGGAGACACCAAAACTGAGAACTTCTCTCAGGAAAGGGACAGCTGAGAGGAGAGGGTTGTCAGAGATAACACCTGAAGGTGCAGCATCAACCTCCAGCAGATGTGTGGAACCCCTTAGAACGTCAGCTGCCAATGTTGCCAGACATGACACGAGCCCAGCGTCATGCTCTGCTTGGACTCCTGCCTCAGTAACACACCACACCCCTGGCACGGACAATGTCTTCTCCCCACCTGATGTAGAGACTCCACAGTTACACCATGATGGTGGTTCCTCCTCTATCTCCTTTCTTCGCATGCTGTTGCCTGTGTCACAGCCGTTGACCCCGCCACACACCGTGACTTCAGAGATTTTAGCAACAGACACCCCAGAGAGGGACTATGGAGTCAAGGTTACATGGAGGAGGAGGAAAGGGCTGATGAGGTTGCTGAGGGACAGAGGTCAACTTACAAGTGCCGAGGCACTGATTAGCATCTAATCAACTTAACTGTAAATGTTGACATTTTATTATCATGTTCTGCAATTAACACTGAATTGTAGTTAACATTGTAGTTAACACCACATTAATAAATTGGTCCACTGATTGAAAGTGATATGTTGCAATGACCATAATATTATCGAGTCCTCTTAATTGTTTTGCTGCTCAGGTTAACTTGGCATGTTGTCCATGTGCAGTTGGTAGTTCAGCGCCTGTTATGGATGTGGCTCTATCTAGCTTCTTGTTTTCTTTGTACCCTGGGTCCACATTCAATCTTTTTTGAAATATAGGTTGTTTTTCAATTGAACGTACACTACCTGTCAAAAGTTTTAGAACACCTACTCATTCAAGGGTTTTTCTTTATTTGTACTATTTTCTACATTGTATAATAATAGTGAAGACATCAAAACTATGAAATAACACGTGGGATCATGTAGTAACCAAAAAAGTGTTAAACAAATCAAAATATATTTTATATTTGAGATTCTTCAAATTGCCACCCTTTGCCTTGATGACAGCTTTGCACACTCTTAGCATTCTCTCAACCAGCTTCATGAGGAGGTCACCTGGAATGCATTTCAATTAACATGTGTGCCTTCTTAAATGTTAATTTGTGGAATTTCTTTCCTTCTTAATGTGTTTGAGCCAATCAGTTGTGTTGTGACAAGGTAGGGGTGGTATACAGAAGATAGCCCTATTTGGTAAAAGACCAAGTCCATATTATGGCAAGAACAGCTCAAATAAGCAAAGAGAAACAACAGTCCATCATTACTTTAAGACATGAAGGTCAGTCAATACGGAACATTTCAAGAACTTTTAAAGTTTCTTCAAGTGCAGTCGCAAAAACCATAAAGTGCTACGATGAAACTGGCTCTCATGAGGACCGCCACAGGAATGGAAGACCCAGAGTTACCTCTGCTGCAGTGGATAAGTTCATTAGTGTTACTAGCCTCAGAAATTGCAGCCCAAATAAATGCTTCACAGAGATGAAGTAACAGACACATCTCAACATCAACTGTTCAGAAGAGACTGTGTGAATCAGGCCTTCATGGTCGAATTGCTGCAAAGAAACCCCTACTAGAGGACACCAATAATAAGAAGAGACTTGCTTGGGCCAAGAAACACGAGCAATGGACATTAGACCGGTGGAAATGTGTCCTTTGGTCTGGAGTCCAAATTTGAGATTTTTGGTTCCAACCGCTGTGTCTTTGTGAGACGTGGTGTGGGTGAACGGATGATCTCCGCATGTGTATTTCCCATCGTAAAGCATGGAGAAGGAGGTGTTATGGTGTGGGGGTGCTTTGCTGGTGACACTGATTTATTTAGAATTCAAGGCACACTTAACCAGCATGGCTACCACAGCATTCTGCAGCGATACGCCATCCGATCTGGTTTGGACTTAGTGGGACTATCATTTGTTTTTCAACAGGACAATGACCAACACACCTCCAGGCTCTCCAAGAAGGAGAGTGATGGAGTGCTGCATCAGATGACCTGGCCTCCACAATCCCCCGACCTCAACCAAATTGAGATGGTTTGGGATGAGTTGGACCGCAGAGTGAAGGAAAAGCAGCCAACAAGTGCTCAGAATATGTGGGAACTCCTTCAAGACTGTTGGAAAAGCATTCCAGGTGAAGCTGGTTGAGAGAATGCCAAGAGTTTGCAAAGCTGTCATGAAGGCAAAGGGTGGCTATTTGAAGAATTTCAAATATAAAATACACTTTTTTGGTTACTACATGATTCCATATGTGTTATTTCATAGTTTTGATGTCTTCACTATTATTCTACAATGTAGAAAATAGTAAAAATTAAGAAAAAACCCTTGAATGAGTAGGTGTTCTAAAACTTTTGACCGGTAGTGTACATGCATAATGAGTACCCATTGTGAGATTTACAATACTGTAGTATCTTTGGTATAAATAGAGGGGTCTATTTACTAGCTACATTTGTGGTAACATAGAATGCAGAAGCAAAGAAATCTGTCCAATCACTCAAGTCTATATAACCTGCCATCCAATAGCATAGTCCGTTGTAGTCATATGCGGTAACTAGGGCTGGGGAACAATTCTACAAGCGTGTCAAGGAAAGTGGTCTGCTGCACCAGGAGGCCACCACCAGCTGGGGATCCATAGCAACCGTGGATAAACATGAGTTACTACAGCATAAGGTAACTAATATATATATATATATATATATATATATATATATAGTTCTTTGCCCATGATATCATGTAGTAATGCAGTGTCAAAATTGGATGGGTGAAGTATGTCTGGTGGTGGTGTGCGAGACTAGTCTGTCACTTCACTTTTTCAGAAGGCACTGTTGCTCGAGAAGACTATGATGCTAGTTTGGCAAATGTTAGCCTAGCTAGTTAACGTTTCTTGCTTGCCTGAAGATAGCGAGCTCCGTGAAGAGACTAGAGCAGAGGCAGGGTGATGAATCAACAATAGAAGATAACACCAAGCACAAACTAAAATACATATTTTTCACAACTTGAAATGTAGCTAGCTATTCAATTTTTCTTGTCAATAATCAAGCAGAGTTAAACGCTTATCATTAACCATTTGGGCATCATTTTAACACGAAAAGGAAGCGTGAGCTGGTCAGTGAATTGTAGCTAGGAAAACTACATTGATTGCTAGCTAGCTAGCGTGCTTGTTAACAGTAAAACAGAAAGCACACAATTCGTCATGGATTGCTCGTGAACTTTTTGATTAATGTTTTGTAACGGGAATGGGTTGGACATTTTATTATTTTAACTTGCTAGCTAGCTATAACGTTCCATCTGAAAAATGCAAATATGTCCAAATTGCATGAACATCCACGTTGACAACGACGCTATAACGATGTTATAAACAGCCCATCTGGCTAGGCTCAAGCCTTAAATCTTTTGGGTTGCTAACGTTACATTATTGCGTCACAAAAGCCATCAGATGGGGCATATATTACACTAGATTTCTCGAGTTACTGTGGCTTTGTCATAGGAGCTTGCACCATTGTCCTTGGAGACGGCACCGCAGCTTGCTAAAAATTCAATATTGGGGCCTATGAGGGGGGCAATCTCGGCAACATCACTCTGCACGGTCACCACCAAATAAGTCTCCCCAAACGGAAGAAGTGACAGGATGAACAACGTTAACAAAAGCAGGTGAATCAAGCTAATATCATAGCATGGTGATGGTATGGAACTGTGTTGAGGCCTAACATGAGACAGACAATCCGATGTTGAAAAGGGTGTTGGATGGTTCAGTTCATGGATGTTTTAGTTCATGGTTAATGATGTGGTAGTTATGTGATAAGCTACATGGAGGCAATAGACACATGACAATGTGTCAGTCAGAGTACGATTCTTATTTAACACTATCTGAACCCGTCATCATAACAGAATCAGCTGGCATAAACAAAGTCATGACAGTTTGTCATCAAAATGGGTGCTAGTATAACACCCTTAGCTGATCAAAAGAACATTGTGTCATAATAACAGGGTCATAAATAGTATAACGTTTATGACCCTGTTATTATGACAAAACAATATTATTTTGATCAGCTAAGGGTGTTATGCTAGCACCCACAAGTGAAATCCCCTGCATTGCTTTTGCAACCTCATTTCACCCTGTGAAACTGAATTTCATTTAGGGATTCTTACTGTTTATTTCACTAGCAAACGTTTTCCTTATGCTGTGCATTCCTGGTCAAAATAATGACATTCCACCCCTTATATGATTGTGGGTTGGAATGTAGGATGGCTGAATGTTATGTGACTATCTGGAGGCAATAGAGAATTCCACAGTCTTTGGTTTTTAAAGCGTGCCCACGAATGTTGCATTACCATTGCACCCACAACAAACAACATTATTGGCTATTCCCATTGTGACATCAATGCACACTGGAAAATGGCTCAGGAAAATTAATAGGCAAACATGTTGACACAAGACATGCAGTGTTTCCTCTAGGATTTCCACCCAACATTTTAGAGGCCCTCTTGGATGCTGAGACAAAATGTTGCAGTTTTAAAGCTAATTTCCTACAATTCTACACATTTTGCCATGGGGATGAGATAACATTTACAGTTTTAAAGTAACTGGCCAGTGAAAATCTAACTTTAAAAAGTTTATATTCTGTTAACTCATACCCAAATAATGTTGTTGACTCGTCCTATACTCATATTTGTGGCCAAAGCATAAATTGGAGAAAAAACACATCAAAAACCCCACCTCAAACTTGTATCTCAAACTCAAAAAATGAGCTGGCCAATCAGTGGTCTACTTGTATTATTATTTTTAATGACCGGTATACGCCCACACCATTCTGTTGTTGGGGTACGCCCAAACCATTCCAACACAGAAAAGCTGCTGTGCATACTTAATTAAACATTTTTGGAAGGAAAACAATTGTACTCATATTGTAATTAATTATAGGTCATATTTCATATTAATCTGGAAACACTGGACAGGCAAATTTCCTGCAATTCTATATATTTTGCCATGGCTTATGCTGTGTTCAAATGCTATCTGAGTGACTCAAACATTATAACAAAATCAATGGGGGCCCCATGCTAGTTCTCAAAGATGATCTTATTTAAAAATATATAGCCTCATTATCTTTTCTAAATATTTTATATCTGGTTTTAGTCGTTTTAAGTTTACACTGAAAACGTTTTATGAATATAGGGGAAACACTGACATGACATGTTGGAGCATGCCTCTCCCTGTCTCCTCCTACACTAAAGCTTCTCAATCAGTTTCAGAACTGAGGGCACTGGGCTTAATGTAATGGCTTGTCTGAGGGAAATCAACTCTCCCTATGGTCCGTCAGCACTCCTATTGATGTCTGTTTGATGTCTGTGCATTAGGACTGTGCTGACCAGAGGTGCCCTGAGAGCAGAGCACGTTGCTGTGTGCGTAGGAGGTTACCGTAAGCTCTGCAGAGAGAGAAATCCATAGGTCCATTTTTACCCTGAGAGGAGATTAAAATCAGAGAGCAGTTCCCACCCTTTCCTGTTCAAATGTGGACTGTGATTATTTGATGTAATCTGCTTGAGTTCCACACCATGTACTGTTGTAGTTCAAGGAGCACTTCAAAATGGGTAGGCACGCCGCACTAGGAAGGCAGGAACAAAACCATGGGTAGTCAGAAAAAATAAACAGAATTGACTGCAGTGTTTCAAAGTCTCTTCAAGG